GAACTTCAGCAGACACGGCAGGACCTTCCCTTTAATGGAGAGGGCCCATTTTCGGAAGAGACAGATTCAAGGCTACAAAGCCTTAAAGGCTCAAGGACAATAATGAAGTCCTTGAGCATGCACACACAGGCTACCCAGCGGAAATCCTTCAAGTCTCAGGAGCCGCAACAGTGCCTGTATCCTCCTCAGCCGAGGCAGGATTTCTATAGGCAGCGGGGACATAATGGCAGGAGGAAGCCATCTAACCCCCCCATCAGGACAAGGCCAGGGCCCGACCAAGCCTTTGTCTGGCTCAAAACAGGACTTTTGAAGGGATGCCCAAGGCCGGCGTACCGGACCTCGTTCAGGAGTCTACCTCACCTTTATTGAATCATTTATCCCATTTCCACCGTGCTTGGTCTCTGATAACCACAGACTGCTGGGTCCTCCACATGGTGAAAGTGAGATACTCTCTCCAATTCTCTTCCTCCCTGCCCTCCCACCCCCATCCCTCTTCAGGGACCATTCTCATGAGCAACTCCTTATTCAGGAGGTTCAAATGCTCCTCACAATGGGGACAATCGAGGAGGTCCTGAGGGAGCTAAGGGGCAGGGGGTTTTACTCCCAATATTTCTTAATCCCCAAGGCAAAGGGCAGGCTTCAGCCCATTCTGGACCTGTGCGGACTCAACAAGTTCATGGTAAAGTTGAAGTTCTGCATGGTCTCCTTGGGCATCATTATACCTTTCCTGGATATTGGTATGCCACCCTTGACATGAAGGACGCGTATTTCCACATAGCGATTCATCCAGCGCACAGATGCTTCCTCCACTTTGTGGTCAACCGCAAACACTATCAGTTCACGGCCCTTCCCTTCAGTCTTTCCATGACCCCCTGAGTATTCACCAAATGTATGGCAGTTGTGGCGGCCTTCCTTCGTCGAGGGCAGGTGCAGGTATACCTTTTCCTCAACGACTGGCTTATCTGTGGGCACACCAGAGAACTGGTGCAGTCTGACCTCCGCTTGGTCATGGACATGTTTCGTCGGTTAGGCCTTCTTCTCAACATGGCAAAACTGACACTAGAACCGACCCAGAGAATAGAATTCATTGGGGCGGTTCTGGACTCCATGCAGACACGAGCCATCCTGCTGGATGCTCGTTTCCAGTCTATTGTGGCCCTTGTCTGGAGCCTTCAGAGCTTCCCAACCTCATTGGCAAGAAGCTGCTTGAGTCTTCTTGGCTACATGACTTTCTGCATATACATGACCAGGTATGCCAGACTTCGACTCCACCCGGCTGGCATCAGTCTATCGCCCATGTCGGGACAGCCTGAACTTGGTGGTCACAGTCCCAGAGTGGCTCCTGGCCTCCCTCCGCTGGCGACTAGATCCCTAGGCAGTATGCAAAAGAGTTCCTTTTCACAGCCCGCAGCCCTCCTTGTCCCTCATCACGGATGCATCAGCCCTGGGATGGGGCGCCCACTTAGGGGACATTCAGACACAGGGCCTATGGCCCCCATCCACACTCTCCCTTTATATCAACGTCCGGGAGCTGATAGCAGTGCGGCTTGCTGTCAAGCCTTCCGGGAGCGGCTGCAGGGTCGTTGTGTGGCGGTCCTTGCAGACACCACCACCGCCATCTTCTACATCAACAAACAAGGGGGGGCCCGTTCCCCCCCCATCAGGAGGCCGTTCGACTGTGGGAGTTCTGTATAGCCCTCTCCATTCACCTGGTGGCGTCATTTCTACCTGGGGTCCAGAACACGCTGGCAGACCACCTGAGCAGGTCCTTCTGCTCACACGAGTGGTCCCCTCGACCAGATGTCATCCACCCCATCTTCCGAAAGTGGGGGTTTCCCCAGGTCGACTTGTTTGCCTCCCGCAGCAATCGGAAATGTCTGGCTTTCTGCTCTGTCCAAGGCCGCTCCCTGGGCTCTCTCACAGATGCCTTCCTACTCCCGTGGACGAGTCAACTATTTTACGCCTTTCCCCCGTTCCCCCTGGTGCACAGGGTCTTGTGCAAAGTGCACAGGGACAGGACATGAGTGATTCCGGTAGCTCCGGCGTGGCCCAGGCAGCACTGGTACACCACGCTCCTGGAACTCCCTCTGGACGCTCCAGTCCCATTGCCTCTTCTTCCAGACCTGATCACTCAGGATCACGGTCACTTCTGCCATCCCGACCTACGATCTCTCCACCTCACGGCATGGATGCTGCGTGGCTGAACCCTTCAGAACTTCTCTGTTCAGAATCTGGGCAGTAAGTACCGATGGGCAGCAGGAAACTCTCCATTAGGGCCACATATACGGCTAAGTGGAAGCGGTTTTCATGCTGGTACACTCAGCACAACACACTCCCTCTCCAGGTGTCTGTGCCTCTCATTCTGGAGTATCTCGTGGACCTAATACTGCAGGACCTGGCAGCATCCTCTGTCAGAGTTCACCTGGCAGCTATCTCAGCTCTTCATCCAGGTGCGAATGGCCGCTCTATCTTCGCCAATCCCATGATTGACAGGTTCCTCAAGGGCCTGGACCATCTCTACCCACAAGTTAGACAGCCATCCCCACATGGGACCTTAACCTGGTCCTCTCCAGACTCACGGGGCCCCCATTCGAGCCGCTAGCCACCTGCCCCTTTCTTTACCTCTCCTGGAAAACAGCTTTCCTGGTCGCTATCATGTCAGCGTGGTGGGTCTCTGAGCTGAGAGCCCTTACCTTGGAACCAACTTACATGATCTTCCATAAAGATAAGGTTCAGCTTTGGCCTCACCCGGCCTTTCTTCCCAAGGTTATATTGGCCTTCCATAATCAGCCAAGACATTTTTCTTCTGTTTTTTTATCCAAAACCGCATGCCAGTCGCCAGGAACAGCAGCTGCACTCCCTCAATGTCCGTAAGGCCCTTGCCTTCTACATTGAGTGTACGAAGCCGTTCAAAAAGATGACCCAGCTCTTCATTGCAGTGGCGGACCAGATGAAAGGCCTCCTGGTCTCGTCTCAGAGGATCTCTTCATGGATCACGTCCTGTATCCGCGCTTGCTATTATCTGGCCTGTGTACTGACCGTGCCCCTCACTGCTTACTCCACAAGGGCCTAGGCTTCATCGGCGGCGTTCCTGGCCCAGGTGCCAATCCATGAGATCTGCAGAGCCGTGACTTGGTCCTCAGTACACACTTTTGCTTCGCACTATGCCATCGTCCAGCACACCAGAGACGACGCGGCATTTGGTAGAGCGGTCCTACAATCCACGTTGCTTCACTCCGACCCCACCGCATAGGTAAGGCTCGGGAGTCACCTAATTGGAATCGATCTGAGCAAGCACTCAAAGAAAAAACGGTTACTTACCTTTGTAACTGTTGTTGTTCGAGACGTGTTGCTCATATCCATTCCAAACCCGCCCCCTTCCCCTATGTCGGAGTAGCCGGCAAGAAGGAACTGAGGAGGCGCTGGGTCGGCTGGGGTATATATCAAGCGCCGTGAAGGCACCACTCCAGGGGGCTCCACAGCCGACCCACCGAGTCGTAAATTTTATCCGACGGCCGTGCACATGGCACGCACACACCTAATTGGAATGGACATGAGCAACACATCTCGAAGAACAACAGTTACAAAGGTGAGTAACCGTTTTTTCTTTAATTGAGAGAACTGGTTTTATGTAGAGGAGCTCTGAACATGAATTTCTGTTTTAACAATTATTAATGCTATATGGCCAGCTTCTGGCCCCTGCTGTGGAGCAGCACAAAGGGGCCGTACAGATAGCTTAACCAGTTTGCTGAGCAAGAGCAAGGACTGAGTGTGCCAGCTTCCTGTATAGCACACAAGGGAGTGGGAGAAGAGAGCGTTCCTTGGACATTCCAGAATCCTCACCACCTATGCAGATCTAGGCATACTCCAGTTGGTATCTAAATGGAACTAAAAAAATGGCATAAAGATAGACCACTGAGGAAAGTAGGAAGGTATTCACAGTGCTTGGTGTTACTAAGAGAGCAAAAGGAAGATTTCACTGCAAGCTATTCAAAATGTCTGTGGAAGTCCCCTGGCACTCCTAACCCCAGGAGGAGACTGTACAAGGTATACTAGAAGAGAGTAAAAGAGGTGTCTGATTTGAATCTAGTCTATAACCCACCTGAGACAGGTTTTTTTTTCATTGTGTTAAGTTATAGGACATTATGACTTGAATTCCCAAAATAGAATTTAAAGGGGAAGAATAGAGCATAGAGGGGGCAAATGGAACACTAGGGATAGTTATAGATCTGTGAATCACTGACATAATATAAACCCATGTTGACTGGTTAAATTACCTATGTGAGAAGAGTATATTAACAAACAAGATCGGAGCCATCCATCTAAAACACACCGTCTAGGAATAGAGCCATCAAGGCAACACACTGTGTGGAAGAATTAAAGTCACCACAGGACAAAAACTGGACACAAAGGAACAAAACTGACAGCTTCTGTCGAGACAGATGTCTAAAGTGGTTTTTTTGTTTGTTTGTTTTTTAAAAAGAGTCAAGATGGTGAGCTAATGTATTTTATTGGATCAACTTCTATTGGTGAAAGAGACAAGCTTTCAAGCTCCACTGAGCTCTTCAAAAGAAGGTTAGCTATGTTTAAAACAGCTGTGTAGAAAGCATCCCTTTCTTCAGCATTTTGAATGGGCTTTTAGCAGATTTAAATGATTAATTAGTTCAAATTGTATTATAGTGACCAATTACATAATAAAGGCCTTAGAGGCAGCCCAGAGCAACATTAGCTGGGACCCATACACTGGAGTTCCAATCCTGGCGTTGCTACAGGCATGGTGTGTGGTTCTGAGCAAATTTCTTCCGTTTCTCCCCACCTCACAAAGGGGCTGAATATTAAAGTTTGTCAAGTGTTTTGAAGTTGCCAAGTCCTAATATTACATTGTTAGTGAAAGCATCATTCATTTACTGAGTCTCTCTTCTCTGACCAATATTTTCTCATTCTGTGTTTCTTCATCTCTCCTCCATCCCTCTTTTTTTGGGTCACTTATTCACGGTCAGGAAGGCCAACACTCGAAGGGCCAGCTCCACAGAGCGTGGTGCCAGCCTGGTTGAGACTACCAGCAGCAATGGCTGCAACAGTGAGTACATCTGAAATTAAGTGGCAGGGTTATTCTGGGGGAGGAAGGGAGGAGTAATTGTTGTTATTAAAAACTTTTTTCTTTTCTTTTTTTTACTTTTCAGAGATAACAGAATAAAACAATAAAACAGGAACCATGGGAGAGCAACATGCAGAGGAACCATAACAACATAACAGGTGCTGTGGAGGGTCTGGTAACCAGGATGAACAAAGAAGAAATTAGATACAAATAAATCTGCTAATGTACTGGGAGAAGATGGCACATAGATCATAATAAGGAAAAATAGTTACATTTATCAGAGTGCCTGATTACTTTCAAAGAAGGGAAGTCACATTGTAGAGAAATCATTAGAACCGTTTTTGAATCTTCTGTGAGCTTTCCCCTGACAAATGTATTGCAGACTCTGTGCAGCCAAGTAGTTCTATCAGGGAGTTCTTTCTTTTTCCAATGCAAAGACAGGGAGCATGAGAATCTTTGAGGTATTTCACCATGTAAAGAGTATATCATCTTAAGAGGTTTTCACCAGATCGTCCCCTCCTCACAGGAAAGCTTGGAAACAGCACAAAGAGGTCAAGGGACTGTCTCAATCCAGTGGTTTCAAAACATATCTGGGATATATGTACAGAATTTGGCTGACTTCAGACATACTCACCAGATGTGGATAAAAGGGCCTCTCCCTCCACTTTCTCTCCAGCTGATATAAGACCTACATTTTTGTTTTAAATAGTGATTCAATGGTTCCTCACACTGTCTTGAAACATCACTTTGTTGGCCAGCCTCCTAGCTAAGAGACTTCAGCTTGAAGTAAAACAGTGTTAAGATGATGAAATTCATAACAGTTAAAGGAAATCTACTGGGCAGAGTAATTACCCTGTGCTTGGTATATGCTCCTAACACAGGACAAAGAGCCTGTCCCAATGCTATTCTTCCTGTCTTGACATTTTCTTCTGAGGATCTCATTGCTGAGGGAGATTTAAATCTCACCTCAAATCCTACAGCTGACAGATCAGACAGTAGAAAGGAAGAACCCAATTCCCCTGGCTCATATTTGAAACAAAATCTTTCACAGCTCAGTCCACTGGATTCATGGAAGAATGTGAAGCCATTTGTGAGGGATTATTTGTTTTATTCATATCCCTATTTGCTGTTCACGCAAATAGATTATATATCTCTGTCTGCTTGTTTAAAGGATTTTCTGACTGAGGCAAAGAGAGGTGAGCTTACATGGTCAGTCCCTATTCCTAGCATGACAACACTTAGAGATTTGTTTGGTTGTAGGAGGCATAGCAACTGGGACCTGAATAATCCATTATTTGAAAACCTTATAGTATTGAATGATGTAATTAGCAAAAACAAAATTTCTTTCAATGACGACAAAAATGGAAACTTACATACCAATACACTATGGAAGGTTTATAAGGCAGCATTGAGGGGGAAATTAATTGATTCATTCTCTAGAATTAAAAAGGGAAAAAATACAGAAGACAAGTTTTTTCTCTCTGAAATAAAAAAATTAGAGAAGTTACACAAAAAGACAGATGCAAGGCAAATGCTGGCTAAGCCTCCCTCTCTTAGAGGGCAACTCTCTGTTCTGTGGCCAGAAAAAATAGAATGTATTGTATATCAGTTTAAACAAAAGTACAATGGGATGGGAAATAAGGGCCATAACAATTTATCATATAGGCTAAAACAGGAAAAAGAAAAAAATACTATGATTGGTATCACAAAACACAAGAGTGAAATGCATTGTCATACAAGTTCTTACACTGGAGAAGTTGGGCTCCCAGTTATACCTGAACATCTGCAGAAAGAATTTGAGGAAGTCAAATCAGTCATTCAAAATATGCTGTCAAGTAAAGCACCTGGTATGGAAAGGTTCTCAATTGAATTGTACAAATCTTTGACTTATCAGCTTTCCCCCAAACATCTAAGTAATTTTCAGGACTTCAAAACATTAGCAGATATGAAGAAAGAAGTCAATATTGCTGTGATTTTAAAGGCCAAAAGATATAAGATTGAATGTACTTCACCTATGAACATCTCATTGTCAAATACAGAATTTAAGAGTTTTGCAAAGGTGTTGACAGAATCATTTATGCTTAAAATAACTAGTATATATCAAATGGGATTTAATCAGGGAAGACAGCTATTAGATAACATTCATAGGTTACTGGTTGTGATCCATTCAAGCCTATCAAAGATAAGGAGGTCAGATATGTTACTTTCACTAGATGTGGAAAAGGTCTATGAACAAGTTAAACGGAAGTTTATGAAGGGACTAGGTCTAGAAAGTAAAAGAAAAAAATGGACTGAAATCTTATACCAATCTATAAAAGCTAAACAAAGAGTCAATAATAAATATTCAGAGCCTCTCTCATTTTGTAGAGGCCTATGGCAAAGTTTTCCACTATTCCCCACCTCGTTTGTATTAACCAAGAAACCATTTGCACAGAAAATTAGAAAAATTAAACAAATACAGGATTTAAATGCAAAGAAGTCAATCCATAAAATAGTGTTCTTTGTGGATGAAGTCCTATTCATGATTACAGAATCCCTCAAAAGAATGGCATTTAGGGAGGTCATAGGTTTTAAAATTAATTTTACAAAATTGCAAGTCATGTCAATTTGCCTTAAAGATCAATGTCAGACAAGGCTACAAATTCATTTTAAATTTAAGTTAGCCAAACATCACATAAAAGTATGTAGTGGTCAATGTTATTTTCCATTTAATAACATTATATGAAGCCACCACCTGTGCTTGTTAAAAAAAAATTAAGAAGTGATTGAAAAACAAAAGATGATTATAGTGGTTTGGCAAAATTATTACCATAACAATAATGTTGCTCCTGAGGATCACTTTCCTCTTCCAGAATATTCCAGTAAAGGTTTGCCATAAGATGTTAGAAAATCCTCCAGCTCATTTGGGAAAACAAAATGGCTAAAATTAACAGGAAAACTCTTTCCAGAACTAAATCATAAGGTGACCTGCCTGTGCCCCATATAAAAGGTTCTTATTGGGTGACCCATCTTGAACATTGGTAACAAGGTACACCAGAGAGAGAGAAACAGGTGGAAAGAGAACAAGAGGAGTTTCCTATTCTACTAATTGCTTTGATTTTTATTTCCAAACATCAAGGGGAAAACAGAAGGAGGTCTACCTGGCAGAAGTCTACTTCTTACCCTAAAGTTATGGAGAAAATAAGAGTTAGAGATAGCCCAGAATCTCCCAAACTTACTGTGATAAAATGGAATTCTAGTCTTCCTCAGATCTTTTGGGTTATTTTTTGTTTTTAAGGAAAGGAGATGAGCTTTTGCAGAACAATGGTTATTTAAAAAGGGAAACCAGTGGACAGATGAAATACAGAAAATGTTTGTCTCATTAGAAATCCTCACTTTTAATTACTTAATATTTAAAAACCATTCATACTATGAGTTGCTTTAGTTAGAGCCCTCACAGAATTGGAAAAAATAATTATGAAATCTAAGGGATCAGAAGATACAATTCCTGCCAGATATTTGGTAATGATTACATTATAAATTAGATATGCAAGCGGGAGGAGTAGTTGTGTGAAGAGATCTTTCATGAACAGTGGTCATGCATGTGGCCTGGAGCAACTTTCTCTTTTATGGTAACATGTAGAAAAACACAATACAAAATCATATTTCACTGGTATTTGAAAACAGATTGAAACATTATAAAGATGTTTCAAATATTTGCTGGAGGAATTGTGGATTGGTTGGTATTCCTTCCCTTCCCTGTTTCGGACTATCCTAAAATCCAAGCATACTAGTCCGGAAACACTGTCATTCACTGGCAGTTTTACTGACGTTACCAGTTAAGCACCTATTTAGACCACAAAACCCTGATTTCTTAACACACTTATTGGTAGCAGCTATATGCTCAGTGAAGAGCTATGGAAAAATAAGAATTCCTCTAACACCCCCCCCCCACAAAATAACACTGCATAAGTCAAAAGAATCTAGGATAAAGCATTTGTCAATTTTTTTCCATTAAGAGTAATGCTAGACGGTATGAAATCCTTTCAGGCATAGCTGCCTTTCTTATAGTTTGAACATAAAAATCATTCCAATATCAAAAGGACACTGAAAAAATTTAAACTGTTTTTCTTTATTATACTTAAAGTTACCCATTTCTCATGTATTCCAAAAGTATATACCTGGTTTTGCTTCCTTCTCGTTTGCGATCAGAGTCTGTGTAAGACGATGTATCTATGTATCCATATCTCAACTGCAAAGCACAAAATAAAAGGTTAATAACAGCTCTCTCTGTCTTTGGGACCAATGGGTTTCCCAGAAACATTTGCCAATTTTCCTACGAGTACATGAGCCCTAAAAATGTGGCAGGGCACCCAGTCATGGGATTTTTGGAAGAGCCCCACTATATGAATACCCTATTCTACTGACCGTTCTGTTCTCCATCGCAGCATCCACTACTTTGGCTGTTACTTCTGGGGATTCTGTCACTTCCCTCAATCTTGGAGGCAGGTTGTAAGAATTCCTCTTTCCCCCTCCTCCCCGGAAGCTGCTAGCTCCTCCTGCTGGTATATTCTCTGCCTGTGTACTCCCAGGACAAAAGTTCTTTTAAAAAGACATTTGTAACTTTCTAATTGCTAAGATGGCTTGGAAAAGGTGAAGTGATTCATAATTCAGTGATGTTTGCCAGAGCTTGCAGCCAGCCTGAAAAAAAGAAAAAAACACAAAACAAAACACACCAAGAAGTGTGAACTGTCCTTTCATCTCAATAGATTTCAGTTATCACCCCAATTATAGCACTTCTAGGGTGGGATTTTTCAAAAGTGCTTAAGTGATTTAGGAATGGAATTTATGCTCCTGAACCACTGAGATGTTTCTGAAAAAGCCCACCCCTATGTCAGCTGTTTCACGATGGATAATTCTAGCAGAAACATCCAGATAATGTGCTCTCTCTCATAATCTGAAACGGACTTCCACCTCCTCCTCAAAAACAAAGCTTCCAACCGTCCCCTATGCAGCTTCCGAAACCTCCAGCTTCTACACTGCGGTTACATGTTGTCAATAAAAAAATCCACTATTTAATAAAAGCTGAAAATGTGGGGACAGCATAACAAATAAAATTCAATATCAAAATAAACATGAGGGTTCCTGTACTAATTGGTCTTATTTCTGTATTTCATTACAAACCATCATTATTTAAACTTAAATGGCCATGAAAACTTCTATTGTGCCACAGAATCTAGCAACAGAGCCACATAATTTAGATCCAGCTTGCCCTGTTGCATAGAGGGCACACCTCTGAGCAGCCAGTTGGGGAGTGTATTTCCAAACTGGACAGCCAGAAGTGAGGGCTGTTCAAAGCTGATCTGATGTGTACTAAACAGCATCATTTATCAAATGCTGACTAGGTCTGACTGACAGTTGTGCTCAGGGGACAGTAACATACCACATGACCTAAGTCCAAACAAAACAGCTCAAATTTCATAGCACCAGTGTGTGCAGTTGCTACTTGTATTTGTGAGCCACCCACTGGCTGAACCACATTTTTGTAACACATTGAGTGAATAGTTTCAAACAAAGAATAGATTCATGGAAATCACGATCTAGGGTTTACCTGGTCCTGCTAACACTTGCAAAAAGTACACCTGCCTTGTCCACACTAGGAACACTAAGAAAGCAAAATCTACCACCTTTTTTCCAAGTATAGATGCACTGTCAATGTGCCAGCCAAAGTTTTCTTCCCTAGAAACACTCATGAAAAAAATATCAGCTGACCAGGACATTGATTACATTTATTTAGCTTGTAAAGCACTTGGAGATGCTCTGATAGATGGTGCTACTGCAGCAAAGAAGTTTTACATAAAGCATGTACCTACACTTATTCACTACCTTGCGGCTATTCAGATTGGGCCAGGTGCTGGGCAAACTTCTGCACTTGTGTAAATGTACTCATCTGAGTAGTCCTATTGACTTAAATGGGATGACAAATATTTTATTTTGGAAACAAAATTTTTTTTCAAAGCTCTCTGACTTGGCCATTAATGCTTCATATTTGGAGGAGTTTGGAGATGTGTCAGAAATAGCCCTTCTTAGGCTTAAATGAAGACTAAAAAAATCAATTTATTGACTTATGGTAGAAATAGAAAACTTCTGTCTCTTCCAAAAGTGGAGACAAAATATGATGAAAAAATGAAATAGTACACGAACAGAGTATTACCCTTTTTTTCTTGGCAGGACGTCAGTGAATTCCAAGATCCCAATTGATATACAGCAGAGCTTCATTTTTACCTGAAAAGTAAATGAGAAAATGAACGTTTTTAATCACCTGATTTTCCAAAATTCGTAGTTGAGGTTCAGTCTCACCAGGCACCTTTGTTGTACCTGAAAATCAGACTGTGGTTTAATCATTTACAGGATCCTAGTATATTGCTCTCTGCTCCCCAAAGAGGGCATGACTCACCAGACCCAGAGTCTTCATCTGTTAAAATAAAGCTTATTTCAATAAAAAGAAAAGGAGTACTTGTAGCACCTTAGAGACTAACCAATTTATTTGAGCATGAGCTTTCGTGAGAACTTACAGAAGTTCATCCGATGAAGTGAGCTATAGCTCACGAAAGTTTATGCTCAAATAAATTGGTTAGTCTCTAAGGTGCCACAAGTACTCCTTTTCTTTTTGCGAATACAGACTAACACGGCTGTTACTCTGAAACCTTATTTCAGTATTAACCTGGAGCAAAAGGAATGTGCCAGCACAGAAAATGACAAAAAAGCAGATTTACTGTTCCTACAAGTTTTAATTGAAATGCCTTTTAGATGATGCAATTGTGAAGATTTAGTATCATATGATTTGTGGTCTCTTTATCTTCATCAGGTTATTCTTGCTTTCTTCCAAAGGTCCACTATAAGAACACACAAGGGATAATGAGAGGATTCCTTATTCCCCAATTAAGCCTTATGCCAGCTGGGCTTTCTGAGGGAAAACTAACATAACATGAATACTCCATGCACTATACCTACATATAACACCCAACACTATTTAAAAAAAATGTTTCAAATACATTGTAAAAACAAGCAAGAAGTTGCCATTGCACTTGGAAGGGCAGGATTATGCATCTTAATATTTGAGTCCCTGATTCTGGAAAACATTCCTATTCAGGACAACACTTAAGCAGGTGCTGAAGACCAACTAAAATCAATAGAATTTAAGCCAGGCTTAAGAATGGTCCTGAACAGGCATGGACTTTGCTTAAGTACTTTCCTTGAATAGGGGGTTGAATGCCCAAGGGAAAACTTCAAAGTATTTTTTGTAACAAATAATAGAATGCATTTTGAATAACTTTAAAAGTTTCGTACTTTTCCCATGCATCTTAAATTCTGGAGCCACATTTCCTCTGCTGAAGTGCATTATGTCAAACTAGAAAGTGTCAAATGGAAGCTTCACAGAGGGAACACCAGAGCCAATCAGTTATGAAAGTATGAAAATATGGGCCATTAGCTCTAAAAACAGGATAATTGTCATTTCAATGCTTTTTCCTGTGTGATTTTATATATATAACATTTATTTGGCTATGCGTCATAATGGCTTCATTTTTCCATTACCTTTTACAGTTTTATGCAATCCAATGGTATTCTCATCTGGAAGACGTAGGCTATTCATTTTACAGTAGTGTAAAACAAACATTTAAGAACGTTCTGATCATATTCAACGTGTGTAGAAGCAGGATCATATTTGCTTCCTATAAACCAGAAGTCATAAACACCACTTTTGGCCTGCAGGCCTTGTGCCTTTGAAGTGTTCACTTCTTTCCTTTTTTCACCAAACTGATCTCCATTCTGCTGTGTGTCAAGGACGAGATGACATGTCTGCAAGGGATGCATTGCAGTCAGCCCTGACCTCAGCAATTCTGAGTATAAATGTTTCTCAGGGAAGTCTCTGAAAAGCCTGAAGGTTGCCAAGGAAGCCTTTTAAGTTCTTGCTCATTTCACGCTTTAAATAATTATTGTCCAACCTTAAACCTTCTGGTTTCTTTTGTTTAGTGGCACATGTACAATTAATTAATTTACACAAAATTCCAAATTAATAACTGGGGAAGAGCACAGTAACGCCTTTTGGTACATTCCATACTAAGTTTACACAGAACTCAAACACTGGCATTTATTATGTTTTGAACAGATTTTTTTTGCTTCACTCAGAGTCCTGGCTGTTTTGGGAAAACTGCATTATAAAATGAATGAAACATTTTCCTTATCTAAATTTTCACGAAGTTAAATCATGACACCAAGTAGCCAGAAATGACTGAATGTAACAAAAAGAGGAAGGCACCCAACTCCTCCTAAAAGGCCTCTTAACATCACATCCTAAAAGGGCAGAACAAACTGAATACCACAATTAACAGCTTTAACATCCAGTAGGATAATTAAAGAGACCCATACTTGCTAATCTTCTGCTTTAAAAAGCCAACAGTGCAGAGTACAACTTGCTATGTGTGACATTATTGACATGAACTGTGACCGTATAGATCATTGTTGCAACCAAGGTCCTATAGTTGCACCAAATCTTGCACAAAGGAGGTCAAGAAAGGTGTCTATAGAAACGTTGTAATTTGCTGGGTATGACTGTGCAGTCTCTATGTATGCATCATTTTTGTATTTGAAGTTATGAATATTGGTTAGGTACTTGTATCTCAATGTGTTTGATTCTAAGTAGCCTCAGTGAAGCATTTGGTCAGCTCTTGAGAAAGGACCCAACTAAAACCTCTCCAGAACATCATTAGGGATCTACAACCTATCCTGAAGGACGATCCCTCACTCTCACAAACCTTGGGAGACAGGCCAGTCCTCGCTTACAGACAGCCCCCCAACCTGAAGCAAATACTCACCAGCAACCACACACCAAAAACACTAACCCAGGAGCCTATCCCTGCAACAAACCCCGTTGCCAACTCTGTCCGCATATCTATTCAAGGGACACCATCATAGAATCTAACCACATCAGCCACACCATTGGGCTCATTCACCTGTATGATCTACCAATGTGATATATGCCATCATGTGCCAGCAATGCCCCTCTGCCATGTATATCAGCCAAACTGGACAGTCTCTATGCAAACGAATAAATGGACACAAATCAGACATCAAGAAGTGTAACATTCAAAAACCAGCAGGAGAGCACTGCAATCTCCCTGAACACTCAATAACAGACTTAAAAGTGGCAATTCTTCAACAAAAAACCTTCAAAAACAGACTTCAATTGTAAATTGCGGAATTGGAATTAATTTGCAAATTGGACATCATCAAATTAGGTCTGAATAAAGACTGGGAGTGGATGGGTCACTACAAAAAGTAATTTTCCCTCTCTTGATATTCACCCCTTCTGGTCAACAGTTGAGAACAGGCCACTTCCACCTTAATTGAATTGGCCTCGTTAGTACTAAGCCCCCCACTTGGTAAGGCAACTCCCACCTTTTCATGTGCTGCAATATATATACTGCTTACTGTATTTTTCACTCCATGCATCTGCTGAAGTGGGTTTTAGCCCATGAAAGCTTATGCCCAAATAAATTTATTAGTCTCTAAGGTGCCACAAGGATTCCTTGTTTTTCTTCTCAGTAAGTGCGCAATCAAGAAACACTTAACTGACAATGGATTTTGGAAGACTCTAGTCCACATCTGAGCTTTCCTGGGAACATTCAAACTAACATATAAATGATGGCATTGGCCTGCAAAAAGCTGAATCATTCATGGACATGTGACTTGCCCAGGTGGCTACAAAATCCATCTTATTGCTGTGATTTTGCACAGAAGAACAAAGGGGTTTCCGCCCACCAGAGAGAGAATATATAAGGCCCTGGAAGCCCCTCCATTTTGTCTTCAGCTCTCTTAAGAGATGGCCTCTCCACCCCAAAGAGATGCCTGAAAGAAACTGGAACAAAGGACAGTAACTACAGGGGTGTGAGTGATTGCTGGACCCAGACCAGGAAGGAGTCCAGTCTGTGAAAGCAGCTTATTGGAACGTCTCTGGAGGTGAGATTTAATCTATATCACTTTCTTAATGTATTCGGCTTAGACTTGCGTGTTTTGTTTTATTTTGCTTGGTAACTTACTTTGTTCCGTTCTCCAGCCACCACACTCAAAACTCACTTAAAATCACTACCAGTGTCTCAAAGCAATCAGCTGTGCACAGATCCTGTTCAACTACGCCACTGTGATGGGTTCGATCATAGAAACATCCTTGGGACTGATGTACTGAGACTACCTCTGAGCCTGTTTTCTCTGGCAGTTTGGGCCTTCAGAACCCTGCCTTGTTGAGCCAGATACACTAATCTGCTGCAACAGAGACCCAGGGTCTGAACCACGCTCCCCAAAGCTTCAGACTTAACTGAAAACGGCTTAGCAAGTGCTCCTGTCTCTAGCACCCAGACACCTAGTGGGATCCAAACCCCAAATGAATCGGTTTTACTATGTATAAAGCTTATACAGGGTAAACTCATAAATAGAGGGCAGACAATAACACGGATAGAGAGGTATGCACAGCTGTTTGCTCCCCCAGGTATTAATTACTTACTCTGGGTTAATTAATAAGCAAGTTATTTTATTAAATATAAAAAGCAGGATTTAAGTAGTTCCAAGTAATAACAGACAGAACAAAGTTACCAACCAAGCAAAATAAAACAAAAAACGCAAGTCTAAGCCTAATACATTAAGAAACGGATATAGATTAAATCTCACCCCCAGAGACGTTCCAATAAGCTGCTTTCACAGACTGGACTCCTTACTAGTCTGGGTCCAGCAATCACTCACACCCCCGTAGTTACTGTCCTTTGTTCCAGTTTCTTTCAGGCATCTCTTTGGGGTGGAGAGGCTCTCTTAAGACAGCTGAAGACAAAAATGGAGGAGGGCTTCCAGGGCCATTTATATTCTCTCTCTTGTGGGCGGAAACCCCTTTGTTCTTCTGTGCAAAATCACAGCAATAAGATGGATTTTGTAGCCACCTGGGCAAGTCACATGTCCATGAATGATTCAGCTTTTTGCAGGCCAATGCCATCATTTATATATTAGTTTGAATGTTCCCAGGAATGCTCAGATGTGGATTGGCGTCTCCCAAAGTCCATTGTCAGTTAAGTGTTTCTTGACAGGACTATTCTCAGTAAGTGCCCATTCTCAAGAAGCTGACCAAATGCTTCACTGAGGCTACTTAGAATCAAACACATTGAGATACAAGTACATACCCAATATTCATAACTTCAGATACAAGATACACACATACAGAGAGCAAAATCATAACCAGCGAATTACAACCTTTCTATAGACACCTTTCTTGACCTCTTTTGTACAAGATTTGGTGCAATTATAGGACGGTGGTTGCAACAATGATCTATATGGTCACAGTTCATGTCAATAACGTCACAGCATGAGTTCTTCTAGTTTTAAAAAACCCAAAGAAACAGCCAATACAAGAGCTCTGCCTAAAGCTCACTGATGTCAATGGAAAGACTCCCATTGAATCTACTGAATTTGAATCATGGCCACACACTATAAACTCCTCTATAATAATTTCAATCATAGAGCAAATGATTACCAAATGTCTGCACTGAAACTCCAGATATTCTCTTCAGGAAAAAAAAAATCCAATCTGCTGCATTAAGTGTCTGATTAATGAGAGAACAAAAGCTGCAAGGGCTCAGCAGCTCTTGTGATAAGGCTACATATCTGAAATATGTGCCCTTTAAAAAGTTCTTATATAAGCTTTCCTTCAGCTGCTGCTGAATTATACTGCTGCTGATTCAGCAAGAATTTCAGCATCATTGACTAGGGAGAGGTATATAATTTTATACCATAAAGTTTTTGAAGAAACCTGTGACAAATGTCTGTGGGAGCACAAAGGAGAAAAAAAAGGTATAAATAGCTGAGGATGAAGAAATACAATATATACATCCAAAGTTAAGTGTGGTCACATCAAAGCAGTACAGTGTTGAAGCTTTACCAAACACAGGATGGAAGAAATGCAGAAAGCTGATGTTTTCTAAATGCCAAAGTAACATGGTAGAGAATTAAATGACCCACTGACTTCTCCCTCAGGAAGAAACAAGCTAGTCCCGATATAACTATGAGCATAAAATTCCCTTGACATGTCATATTGCCAAAAATTTTCAATGTGTGTACTATTGATAGTTACTTTCAACCATTTCCAGAAACGTAAGCAGTATGTCCTAGAACACAAAAAAGGATCCCTTTCCTACGGAAGATCAAATAACTATAATGGATCAGAATTTTCCTCCCATTTTAGAGCTTTCTCTGAGAATTCCCAATCTGCCCTGATGCCAACATACAACATAAAGGATAGGATAAGTTGCCTGATTTGGCATTAGAGACAGCATGAAATATCTGAGTTATAATAAAGCTACACTGTGTTTTGTATAAAATTCTGAATTTACTCATTCTGACTTTAAAAATTCAGTATCTAGTAAAGTTAATATTTTATCAATCCAGCTGTATTGCTCCCAGTAAGTAATAAGAGAAAAACTGCATTAAAAAAACTTAAGCCCAAAGCAGCCTGGGAAAAATTCTCTGTTCATTATAGTAAAAGTGAGAAATATACAACAAGCAACAACAAAGACCTTTTTGCAAAAACTAATTTATAAGAAACATGGCTTGGTCTAGGCTTGGCCCACATTTTAGGGTCAGTAAAAACATCCAAAACTTTAAGGAACTTGAGGCCAATGGAAACGTTTCCATTTTTATTTTTAAGCTTCTACAGGACATTTTAAAACCCTTTGCAGCATCTGCAACCTCCACAATGCATCATTGTGCTTATACCGGAGAATCCCAAGAGAAAGGTGATTGTCCATTTTCATTGTCCAAGCTGAGAAATGCAAAAGTAAAACAGCAGACACAGTACAGAGTATGTCAGATACTTAAAATTGTTTTAACAAGGTGTTCTTGAAGTGAGTCAGTTTGTAGCCTGAGTGTCCCTTTAAATTGTCTTTTTTCCTCTAAATACAGAAGACACTGTACCTTTTACATATATTTTGTATATTATTTAATGAACACTTCATGATTATTGCCCAGATATTCTCAATCATTCGACCTAATAAAGAGGTATTATTGCTTGTAGGTAGGGCCCAGTTCTGAATCTGGATGGAATGTACATATCTCTGTAGAGAGAAGACTCAGGTAAAGGTGGAACCAGACACATACACATCAGTAGCTTTTTAAGACTTCTTTATGTATAAGAGATCACATCAAAATACGGATGGTTCATTTCTCTATACGGTTGAGTGTTGATGCTGGACTACACTGCCATTTGTGCACACTCTTCTAGCCTTAGGAGAAAGAAGCTTCCTTCTACTCTAAAATCTGAACACATGTACATTTACCTGCAGTTCTGACTTTTGCACAGTATTACACAAAATGCAAAGCTTCCCCATACCTACTACTGCATTAAATGCTGTCTTGACTACATGATTTATAACATTACAAAAATGATTACTTTAGATTTTGGAAGGTGCTTTTATAGTATGTATGTACATCATTCCAGATTTTTCAGTTTTCTGCACTGGAACCAAACAAGTAGCTCAGCTGGTGTATTTAAAAAACATGTTTAAACTTGGTTTGCTTTAGTTGAACCAAGATGAATAAGAGTCATAACTGTAGTATAACCATGGAGCAGATCATCCTTTATGTCATTGCATTCTCTCAGTATGAAATTCCCAGCGACTATTCGATCACATCCTATTTCTCCATGTCCAAAAAAGCCAAATAGGGGAACATTAGGGAAAAACTTCCTAAATGCATCTGCTTCAAGATTCCTTTTGGTTTTATAATACTGGTATCCCCTGCCAACACATGCAAACATGAACCCAATGGTATTGTGCTCAGGAATGTTTGCTGCTTTGAGACGCTGCATTGCTGCTTCTACAGTCCGTTCATCAATTACATCCTGGTCTAACAAAACTGTAGCACTCTGTAGCTGGGGTCCACTGAAAGCCAATCCAACCACACCACAGGAATCGCCAGCCTCAGTGTTACTGAAAGACAACATACACCAAATTAGAAAAGATGCCAAAGAAACTGCTCTAGATTTAAATACAGAGGCTGCACGAGAAAATTATACAAACTGAACACCCAATAAGAAAAGGAGTACTTGTGGCACCTTAGAGACTAACCAATTTATTTGAGCATGAGCTTTCGTGAGCTACGAAAGCTCATGCTCAAATAAATTGGTTAGTCTCTAAGGTGCCACAAGTACTCCTTTTCTTTTTGCGAATACAGACTAACACGGCTGTTCCTCTGAAACCTGAACACCCAATATAGACAACAATATTCTAAAGAGAAAGTCACCCACAAAAGCAACAAAGATGCTCCAATAAGTCAAGTCAAAGGCAGACACCCCCTATTCACAGGCCAATGGCAAACCTTTCCTACGCCTCAGCAATGGAAAGATGTCCTTCTTGGACATTTGGCATAAACCCACCTTTGAGCGCCGATAGTGATTTGATCTGTGGGATCACCTAACTAGGTGCCAGGTTCAGTAGTTTGCAGGGATTGTGTATTTATTTAGTCCCTGAAATTATATAGGTCTAACACACTCTGGACTAATTATTATGCCTCTACCCTGATATAACACGGTCCTCAGGAGACACAAAATCTCACCGCGTTATAGGTGGACCACATTATATTGAACTTGCTTTGGCCCTCCCTGTTCCTTGTTCCCTGACCACCCCCTCCAGAGACCCCCGTCCCTAATCACCCCCAGGACCCCACCCAACTCCCCTGCTCCCTGTCCCCTGACTGCTCCGACCCCAATCCACACCCCCTGACAGGACTCTCTGACTGGTGCGGGAAGCAGAGCAATGCGGCACCAGCCCATTCCACTCCACCACCTCCCAGCCACGGCGCTCTGCTTCCCGCCGCCGGTGAGTGTGGGGAGGTTGGAGAAAGGACGTCCTCCACACTCACCAGCGGTGGGAAGCGGAGTGATGCGGCCTCAGCCCGCTCCACTTTCCTTGCCCCAGCCCCAGCCATGTGGCTGAAGGGGGGGTTGGAAAAGGTCCCGCGTTCACCTGCGGCAGGAAGTGGAGCGCCGCAGCTGGGGGCTGGCAGAATGGACCGGACTAGGGCTGGGCTGCTCTGCTTCTGCTGGTGAGTGCGGGGGCGAGGGGGGTCTCTCTTCCCCCAAGCCCCCTCCCCCAAGCGACACAGCTGGGGCCAGGGCTAGTGAAGCGGAGTGGGCTGCTCCAGGCCCCCCGCTAATCCCCCCGGGCCACTCTGGGACTGTGAGGCCCCCAAAAGTGCCCCCCAACAGCTCCTGCCTCCCAGACCCGGGGGGAGGGGGAAGAGAGCCCCTGACCGCCCCTGAGACCCTCTGCCCCTTATCCAACCCCTCAGCCCTGGCCCAGCACCCTTAACATGCTGCTCAGAGCGGCGTGTCGGAGCTTTACCGCGTTGTATGCGAACCTGCATTACATCGGGTCGCATTATCTCAGGGTAGTGGGGTACTCAGAATTCAAGTAACAAAACTGGGCAGCAGGAGGAAGGAGATAGACAGTAGAAGCTTGTGATTGCTGTTGCTTCTCCCCTTTTCTTAGTTACCAAGAAATGCTGGCTTTAGGAGTTATCTTAAGTTGTGATCTCTTAGGCATAATGGACATATACTGAGGTCTGCCCTCATTGGACCCTTCCCTTGGCAAACATACTGTATCACAGCATTCTCCAACTTGCAATACCTGCGCACAATGGGGTTTAAAGAGTAATTCAATCATAACATTGTCTGAGCACCCATTACTATAGCTGCTAGGGCCGTCAATCACAGTTAACACCTGCGATTAATTGAAAGTAAAATTAACACATTGATCACATACTTGTGGGTGGGGCGGGAGGCATCAGTGGCAGGGGGACTGGAGCAGCCCTAGCCCACAGCTCCCTGGACAGCGGGGATGGGGCTGGAGCCCAGCACCCCAAACCTAGAGAGCGACTGAAGCCCCATACCCCCAGCTCTGACCCTATATTTGAACATACAGAAAACCCTCAAAATATTTAAATGGTATTCTAATAATGTTTAACAGTGCGATTAAAATTGTGATTAATTATGATTAATTTTTTTAATCGCTTGACAGCCCTCGTAGCTACATATTGAAGCATCTTATTGCTAGCCTCAGTCTCTACAAGTTTCCAAAAGTTAGGAATCACAGGCCACAGAATTTTCAGAAACCCAGGGGATTATCACTGACATCTCAATGCCTAACAAGAAGAAATTAAGTAGTTGTTTCACATTACAATGGACAAAAATGGAAGTACTACACTTAGGGAATAATTTAACACACAAATTGGAAGACATGATAGCAGCCAGCTACACACACACACCAATGATGAAATCGGAAATGTAAAGCTTTTATAAACTGGTTGGCAAGACTGGCCACCCTAAAAATGAGTAAGAAATTACAGCGTTACTATATAATGCATAATGAGAAAGAAAAGAGCACAAATGCTGAAGAGTAAAGCATTCAAAAGGCAGAATCGATTTCAAGCAAAGAACTGCCAAACTGGAATAAACTCACACCATTAGAGAATCTTCAAAGTAGGAAATGTCCTCTATAATTCACCTGAAAGTTGCTCTCTAGAATCCAAGATTGAAAACTACTTTTTGTAACAGGCCACAAAGTAAAGCCATATGACAAAGTCTGCAGCTTTTCCTACTGGAGTACAGCAGCAGCAGCCCTGTATCATCTTTCCCATTACATATTTCACTGTGATTTCAAGACTTTCCTTAATACTTCATTACTACTATGAAAAATAACACTGGCTAGAAAAAGGAAGTCCTTGGATATTTCCTCTCCCCCCATAAAAATGACATCACTGTGCTTGGATGGTGCCTTTCACAGATGTGTGACTCGGCCCTATTCACAGAGGTTTCATGTCCAGTGCTGTACCCTTCTACAATTCCACAGTGTTTCATCACAAATTAACTTGAAAGAGATACCTACTTCTCAGAGCTCAGTGACGTCAAGCTCTCCACATGCCCCCCAGCCAAGATGATACTTTTTTCATTTAAAGGATTGATTATCTGATGAAGAAACCGGTTAGCTCCTGGCTTCCAGGAATTGTAGACAAATAGAAGAACCACACGGAGCTCTGGATTATTTTTAAGACCTGGGAATACAAAAAAAATAAAATAAACATTTTTATCTTTAAGGCAGGGTCTCAGTCTCCATTTGAATTATTCTCATTATATTTATTTTACACCTACCCACAAACACGTTCAGCAATCCTACCTAGCTCACTGCTGTTGCAGCAATGGGGAGAAGCAAGTCATCCTGTGCCCTCAAGTGGTGGGCTACATGATTTGCATTTTCGAAGATATATATTTATTGATATTTACATACACACACGCCCACCCATTAATGAATGCTGAGATTCTCCTCTATAGTGCTCAAAGGCTAGCTCTGTTAGCAGGACCGTACAGAACCCCTCTGGATCTCATCGACTCCCTCAATATTTAGTGTTTTGGGTTTTTCCAGTCACAGATGAGGTACCTGTCAATTTGCAGAAGTGAGCAAGCTCATAAACACAAACTGGCCAATTTACTCTTCACAAGCAAGACATTTTGCTGAGTACATAGTGTGACTGTATATTACTTTATATTTACCAGGGGATTCTTGCTCTCTTCCCCACATCGCTGCTCCTCACCATGGCATATAATTTGGGGACTTACGGATGTTGAAGTATGAAACAAAAAATACCCCCAAGCCCCAGTTTAAAAAAAACCCAAACAATCTGAAACATTTCCAGTTGCACAGCCCTGATTAGTGTGCGATGACTTTTAAACAATGTAGGAAGTTACCAAAAGAGACTGACTGTACCGAGGATTGCAACATCCCCACCCAGGTACTGAGCTGGAACAACAGGATTGCTCAAATTTAACTGAAGAGATCCAAGATCACCTCTCAAGATTACACTTTGTACTTTAGTACCCTGCTGTGGGGGACAAAGTTATCAATCACTGGCAGCCTTGCATTTTTGCATTTATATGGTGGTCCATGCTTCCAGGGAACCTGTGCCCACCCACCCGCCAGGAGGCGACTTGAGTTTTGCAGTCACAAATACAATAACTCACTTCACACAGAGCCCCTACAAAACTGAGGCTACAGCACAAAAAGTATTTGATATAAAATTAAATGACTTGCCTGCTTCAGTGAATTTGCTTTCATCAAAAACTCTATTCTTCAAGTCTTTAAAAAAGTGGAAGGTATGGATTTTCACACCATCAATTTTAGGGAACAATAAAACAAAGCCAGCTTCACCATCTTCGATTTCTTGAGGTCGATTGCTGCTTGAGCCCATTGGAGTAACTGATAAAGAAGCGTAATGTGAATATTTTATTTTGATTAAAATACTTTTGCCTACGTAATGACATACAAAGGGAAACTAGGTAAAAAAAAAAATAAGGGATGCAAGTGCTTTTGAAAATATTACCTACGATCAAGTTGAAAGCGAGTCAATTTAAAAACAAAGTCTCATTTGATACAGCTGACCCCTCCCAATTTCTGTGGGTTTACAACCATGTGTTCATACCCTTAAAATGTGATGAGTCACTCAAACTGGGGAAAGTATATACAAAGAGTCAAATGCACAAGTAAACTGAAAATAAAGGAAAATTCCCTCTAAATTCTTTAAGACCTATTGCTATTTTAAAATTCAATGTGTTTCTTTAAATTTTGAACAAACAGATCTAGGGAAGTTTGGCCAAGTAATCTGGATCGATGAGTTTATTAGAGAGATCTCCCATATTTGAGGAGTCTTTTCTTAACATACAACTAGGGGACTGGTCAGAAATATGACCCCAACCAAAAAAATGTAATGTGTGCTTCATGCTATCCTCTGCCTAGGAGATACAGATAGTTCAGCCTATGACCTCTCTACATAGTTACCTCTTATTTTGTAGCTGCAGTCATAGCAAAGATTAAGAAATGTGAATACTGTATAACTTGCTTGGACACAAAGTATCCCTTGGGTCTTAAAATAATAAAAACACCATAATAATTGGGTGTGAAGTGAATATGATCACAACTGGGATAGAGATTACAGTGCTTTCTGAAGTTTGTGTCTGAAAACCTAGAAATCATGTCTGAGTTGGTCAAGTCTGCTAGACCACTGACCTTTATGTTTGACTGCTGAGTACGTTTCTCAAGAAGAAATTCCATACCAGCCATCAGCTGATACTGAGGCCTTTGATCCTAGTTCAAATGTCTACAACATCCAATTTTTTACAAAGTCAATCTTTTCTATGCAGATTGAAAAATGTGAGTTAAGAATTTTCAAGTCATACCATGTAACTTAGCAGCAGTATCATGAATTCTTTAAACTGTGGTAGACATTGAGCAATTTGGAATTAGTAGACAGTGAGATACTAGTATGTTCTACATACAAATCTGTAGGACTGTGCCTCAATTTGAAAGCACTTGGGAGTCTAATAAATAGCAGTCTGAAAAAGTTAACCATCTGGTATGTATCTTGAAATCAGGCTGTTATATTGCTTCCTCTTACCTACAATTCCAGGAGTTACCAGTCCCAGAACTTGGCACCGTTTTGGCAACAGCTTTTCTAGTGCAATTGCTGTTTCTTTACTATTTCTTTTCCTTGCTGTAACAGAAGAGGGGAAAAACTAAGGCACAGAAAGGTTAAAGTTATTGGCCACAGGTTACACAGAGCCTCTCTCTGTACTCAAAAATCTCTACCCTACGCAGCAATAGAATTGACTTTGCATATGGATTAAAACACTGCCTTACCATCAAACCCATGTTATCACACAATGCAGCTCATTGGCCACCTCATTCAGCACATGACAAATCCTATACAGCTAATGAACATTACAGAACTATAGTACACAAAATAGGAAGAACTAAATATCCTGATTAGGAGGAGGTAAAAATGAGTTCTAGTACACCATGAGGTACAGGTTTAGAGTAGCAGCCGTGTTAGTCTGTATTCGCAAAAAGAAAAGGAGTACTTGTGGCACCTTAGAGACTAAACCAATTTATTAATTAAACCAATTTATTAGAGCATAAGCTTTCGTGAGCTACAGCTCACTTCATCGGATGCATTCAGTGGAAAATTTGGTATAATGAGGTATAATGGTATGAGGTATAATTATTGTTAGGGCTGCCAAGCGATTAATCACGCTGTTAAACTATAACAGAATAATATTTTTGGGTGTTTTCTACATTTTCAAATACAGTAACTCCTCACTTAACATGGTCCCAGTTAACGCTGTTACGTTGCTGATCAATTAGAGAACATGCTTGTTTAAAGTTGTGCAATGCTCCCTTATAATGTTGTTTGGCAGCCGCCTGCTTTATCCACTGCTTGCAGGAAGAGCAGCCCGTTGGAGCTAGCTGGTGGGGGCTCGGAACCAGGGTGGACTGGCAGCCCCCATCAGTTCCCCTAAATTCCCTGTGCAGCAGCCTCCCAGCAGGTTATCAGTTGCTGGGCAGTTCAGCTGTCCCTCCCACCACTGCCCTGTGCTGCTCCTGCCCTCTGCCTTGGAGCTGCTCCCGGGAGCCTCCTGCTTGCTGTGTGGGGGGAGAGAGAAAGAGGGGTGCTAATGTCAGGATGACCCCTCCCGCTTTACCCCATCTCCACAGAGCAGTGGGAGCGACACAACAGGGTTCAGGACGGAGGGAGCTTGCTGGCAGCAGCTGCTGTCTCAACTTGCTGATCAACTTAAAAAGGCAGTGTACTCAGAGTGGTGTCAGTGTACTTAAAGGGGCAATGCATGTCTCTCTCTCTCACACACTCTTGGTGTATGTTTCTGTCTCTCTCAGCCATGCTGTCTCCCCTCCCTCCATTTGTGCTGCCTTGTAGAGTGCGAGGCTACATTAACAATGTGTAAACCCTTGGGTGCTCAGCCGAGTGCTAGTTCATCAGTTAGCAGAAAGGCATTCCCTGGGAAATATCCCACCCTCTGACTCCAACACCTCAACCAAGCTTCACAATCATCATTGCTGTGAACAGTATTAAATTGTTTGTTTAAAACTTACACACACATATATATATAGACTTGTCTGGCAAAAAAAATTTCCCTAGAACCTAACCCCCCCCGATTTACGTTAATTCTTATGGGAAACTGGATTCGCTTAACATCGTTTCGCTTAAAGTAGCATTTTTCAGGAACATAACTACAATGTTAAGCGAGGAACTACTGTATATTGATTTCAATTACAACAGAATACAAAGTAGACAGTCCTCACTTTATATTTATTTTTATTACAAATATTTGCACTGTAAAAAACAAAAGAAATAGTTTTTTTCAATTCACCTAATACAAGTAGGGTAGTGGAATCTCTTTATCATGAAAGTTGAACTTACAAATGTAGAATTATGTGCAAAAACCCTCTACATTCAAAAACAAAACAATGTAAAACTTCAGAGCCCACATGTCCACTCAGTCCTACTTCTTGTTCAGCCAATCGCTCAGACAAATAAGTTTGTTTATTTTTGCGGAAGATAACGCTGCCCGCTTCTTGTTTGCAATGTCACCTGAAAGTGAGAACAGGCACTGGCACTGTTGTAGCTGGCATCGCAAGATATTTACGTGCCAGATGCGCTAAAGATTCATATGTCCCTTGATGCTTCAACCACCATTCCAGGACATGCATCCATGCTGATGACGAGTTCTGCTCTATAACTATCCAAAGCAGTGCGGACCAACGCCTGTTCATTTTCATCATTTGAGTCAGATGCCACTACCAGAAGGTTGATTTTCTTTTTTGGTGGTTTGGGTTCTGTAGTTTCCACATCAGAGTGTTGCTCTGTTGAGACTTCTGAAAGCATGCCCCACACCTCATCCCACTCAGATTTTGGAAGGCACTTCAGATTCTTAAATCTTGGGTCGAGTACTGTAGCTACCTTTAGAAATTTCACATTGGTATCTTCTTTGCATTTTGCCAAAATTTACAGTGAAAGTGTTCTTAAAATGAACAACATGTGCTGGGTCACCATCAGAGACTGCTATAACATGAAATATATGGCAGAATGTGGGTAAAACAGAGCAGGAGACAGACAATTCTCCCCCAAGTAGTTCAGTTACAAATTTAATTAATGTATTTTTTTTTAATGAGTGTCATCAGCATGAAAGTATGTCCTCTGGAACAATGGCCAAAGCATGAAGAGGCATATGAATCTTTAGCACATCTGGCACGTAAATATCTTGCAATGCCAGCTACAACAGTGCCATGTGAACACCTGTTCTCACTTTCAGGTGACATTGTAATTAAGAAGTGGGCAGCATTATACAAACTTGTTTCTCTTCGCAATTGGCTGAACAAGGAGTAAGACTGAGTGGATTTGTAGACTCTAAAGTTTTACATTGTTTTGTTTTTGAGTGCAGTTATGTAACAAACAAAAAATTCTACAGTTGTAAGTTGCACTTTCATGACAAAGAGATTGTACTACAGTACTTGTATGAGGTGAACTGAAAAATACTCTATCATTTTACAGTGCAAATATTTGTAATCAAAAATAATATATAGTGAGCACTGTACACTTTGTATTCTGTGTTATAATTGAAATCAATATATTTGAAAATGTAGAAAAGCATCCAAAAATATTTAATAAATTTAGGTATTCTATTGTTTAACAGTGCGATTAATCGCGATTAGCTTTTTTGAATTAATCACATGAGTTAACTGTGATTAATCAACAGCCCTAATTATCATATGAACTGATAGAGATAGGGCCCTACCGAATTTAAGGTCCATTTTGGTAAATGTCATGATCATAGGATTTAAAAAATCTGAAATTTCACCATTTCAGATATTTAAATCTGAAATTTCATGGTGTTATAGCCATGGTGGTCCCAACCCAAAAGGGGATTGAGGGGGGAAGTTGCAAGACTACTGCAGTAGGGATGTAATATTGACACCCTTGCTTCTGCACTACTTCTGGCGGCGGGTCTGCCTTTAGAACTGGGCTCCCAGTCGGCAGCCTCAGAGCTTCCTGGAGCCTTGGGAGGTTCCCAGAGGTGGCTCTGACCCAGCTCCAGGAGCGGCCTGACCCCCTGCAAAAAGTGACAAACCCCCACTATACCATGCTGCCCTCACTTCTGTGCTGCTGCTGCTGGCGGCACTGCCTTCAGAGCTGGGCACCGGGCCAACAGCTGTTGTTCTCCGCTCTCCAGCCGCCCAGCTCTGAAGGCAGCACAGAAGTAAGGGTGGTAATCCTGCAACCCTCCTAGAATACCATATTTCACGATCCATGACATGTTTTTTCATGGCTGTGAATTTGATAGGGCCCTATATATAGACTATCCTATGTTTACATGGATCACATCTCTTGATGAAAACCCAAGGTGACAATGCCCACTTGACAATATCACATTACCTGATTGTTTTCCTTTAAGCATCCTACTCCATTATAATTGTACATGACAAGGTTCTCTTAAAGAAGTACAGATAGGATTTATACATACCTCTCTTTTGTCCGTGACACTCTTCATATCCACTGAAAGTCTCTGCATCTGCTATGTAGAGCACTGTTTGTGGTAGCACATGCACATTCTGTAAAGTACAAAAAGATAAATGAAAACACAGTATAAGAAAAGCAGACTCGACTACCTAACTGCTGGCTGCCACACCTTTGTCCCACAAAGAAAACCAAGATGAACTAGAGGCAAGAAAGGGAGATTCCTGAAAGTCAGTGATAGGAAAGATCTGGCTATGACAACCATGAGTACATCTCTAGTGCCTTTTATCAAAGGACCTCAGTGCACTTTACTGACATTAATTCTCATAACTGGCCAAACAGCTGTCAGATGATAACTGCTTTGTCACTACTGATATAGCCCACATTTGTGGCCCTAAAGGCAGAGCACTCCACGTCCAGTTGTAAATCTCTAGAGCCACCCAGTTACCACTTCAAGAGCTGATTTTTATATTTATATATATAAACAATAAATCTGTCCCAACTGTAGTGATTTGTACACCTGTGTTTCCAGAGAAATATTCTATTTAAATATTCATTGTTGTTTGGAACTAGAAATACTTTCCTCTTTTGATATTCGGAGGTCCAAGTTCTCTAAAGTTTGTATCAGTAGCAGTGAACATCACCTGCTTCAGCTTCACTCATTTTAAAGTGCTGTAAACCATGCATTGATCATTCTCCAGTGTATATTTAAGTAAGGGGCTAGAACTTTTAAAATTTTAGATGAAAAATGAGGACTTATATTCTTCAGAATGCTGAAAAAATGGGACCCCAGACTTGTCACAGATAACTTACTACCTGCCACTGCCAAGTATGTTTCCAAGTCTGTACTGCTGTCTGCCTGATTAGACATAGTTGCTTAAAATTCTCTCAAATTAAGGATCAGTGTCAACATAAGAATATATTTTAAAAGAAACTTTTCTTACCATGTTATCACCATTACCTTAAATTACTAAAAGGTCAAATGAAAATTTACAATCCAGTTTAAAAACAGAAATCCTGCCTATTACAGCCTGGCCCAGTCCCACTCTCTGAACAGACACCAGTCTGGAGTGAGTGGACCTAACCCACTGGATCCAACGTGCTTCTAACCCCCTTGGGTCTCAGCAGTGACCCGTCAGTGTTCAAAGCTGTGTGTCTCTCAGGCACACTCCCAAGAACAGACCCCATGTCTGACACTCTTCTTGGGTAGTGGGGCCCTGCATTCCAGCTGCCTGGACTTGTGAATCAGTGCCACAGCCTTCCTGAACTCCCAGTTGCTTAGACATGTTACCCCCAGAGCCCACCTGGCTTGGGAACTCTGGCTGCTAGTTAAACTTTTCTGGGACAGTGTGGCAGAGAAGCAAAGAACACAGGCTTAGCAAAAGAACTTCTTAACTGTAGAATTTTCTCTTAAAAAGCATTAGCGAGTTAAAGAGAACAAAAAAACGAACAAAATCCCGACCACAGCCCCTCCTGCTCCAAGTCTGATCTCTCCCCTTCTGAGTGTCTTGGCTTTGGACAGTATCCTTAGGCTTGGCAGCCCTTCCTGCCTTCTTTAGCTTGGTCTTTTTACCTGTGCCAGTGGACTGGCCCCCTTGCTTAGAGAAGCACCCCTCTTTTAAAACAGTCTCTGTCTCCTTTGGTCCACGTGCTTCAGCTGGTGCAGTCCTTCCTTCCCCCAAATTCAAAGTCAATGATCCTACCAATTGAACCCTGCCATTGTTCCAGTAGGGAAGAGTAATTCAATGTCGATGGCCCTTGATTCTGTCACAGCTTCCCCCACCTGCCCGCCCACGGATGCTCTAATCCACACAAGAACTTGCAAGAGGACATTAAGGTCACACTTCAAAACAAGGTTACAGTACAAAGCAGAGCTCCTAAAACACAATGGTGATCACAAAACAAAATGGGGTTCTCTGACTTCAATGGGTAAAGGGGTCAAGAACAGAAAAAATAAACTGAAATATGCCTGACTTGTATGACCAACCCAAGCTTTACAATGTCTTTTTAGTGAAAGAATCAGACAAATCATGAAACTCCATAATGTAATGCTTAAGGCCAAATGGCCGAACATTCCCCAACCATAAAACAGCTGTATGAGGACATAAGAACATGAGAGCGGTCATACTGGGTCAAACCAAAGGTCCATCCAGCCCAGTATCCTGTCTTCCGATGGCAGCCAATGCCAAGTGCCCCAAAGGGAATTAACAGAATAGTTAATCAAGCGAGTGACAGAGGATGGATCACTTGATGATTACCTGTTCTGTTCATTCCCTCTGGGGCACTTGGCATTGGCAACTGTCGGAAGACAGGATACTGGGCTAGATGGACCTTTGGTCTGACGCAGCGTGCCCACTCATGTCCTTCTACAGCTGTGTATAAATATGAATCGAAACTTAAAAGGTGCACTACAACAACAGTATGGAAGAACTGACTTTAGAAAAACGTATCATCACAGACTCACAAGTGTGCATGTGGATTATACCACAGTAGTTAGAAATTCACATTGGCCATTCCAATGTACGCAGTTAACAGTGGTATTTTACCTACCTCAAGTTCTTCAGCTAATGCACGGACCAGTGAATGACTATCAGATGGACCAGGCTCAAGTGCAGAGACCCATGCTATGCTCTGCTGTGTTCTCAGTAATCTACGGGCACATTCTCTCCATAACCGGCAAACACTAAAATACAAAAATTTACTACAATATACAAAAAGGAATCTTAGCAGCTGTCAGACAACCATTTTTTTTTTTTAACTTTTGACTTGGAAGTATCTATCCCACATTGTTATGAGAAACTCTTGCACTTAAAAAAAAATAAAGATCAAGTTTAAGTCACAAAGTGTAAATTGTTGATTGGTTTTCTACTAACATCTATTAAAGAACAAACTGAATGCCTTATTTGTACGGGTATTGTTTTAAGATTGGTTTCTGAATTTCAAAAAGTGCCAGCAATTTTGACAATTGCCTCGCTTAGTACCAGTCACAATAAATTAAGCGAACAACATGTCAGGGGTAGTTGCTCAAGAGAGCATATTGAACAATTCATTCCCAGCTCCTCTCTGCAGCACAAATATATAAACCAGCAAAACAAAATGTTGTTAAAGTACAGAGAAGGTAACCTTGTTTTATGCTGAAAGTGTCTAGGGACAACATACTCCTTGTACACATGAAAAAAAGTCTTTTTTTTCTTGTGTTATCAGGTTTGGTCACTCAGTCTATTCTTCTGACTCCTAACGATAGAGTTCAGTGGCAGCAGAACTCAACGTATGTAAAGAACATAGTGATGTGCCATTTTATGTTTCCCTCCAAAAATAAAAAATGTTAATTTGAAACATTCAAAACAAAACGAGGCCTCACAATTGACTTAACATAAACGGTTAGTTTTAAAAACAAACTTGTCAACCAATCACAAAACTCCTCCTTTCAGAGTGTGTGTGTGAGACAGTTACAGCTCTGCTAACCATAACACAGCGCTGCTAGGGCTCCTTTGATCTGAGGAGCTCAAAATACTTGGTCAATATTTACAAACGTGATAGACACTATCACGAGCTTCTCCCAAAGCTGGGCGGCCGCGTGGGACAGCAACAGAGAGCTAAATAAGCAAGGACCCCGGTGTGGCACCCCGTGGACTCCTTCGCAACTTGGCTGAAGTAAAGAGCGTGGGTTTTAAGCCATTCTGAGGGCTGGGCTGACTTCAGAGAGGCTTGGAAGCGCGGGCTGTTCCCTCAACGTATCCCCTGCCCACCTCCCTGCAGCAGCAGCGAGGCCTGGTCAGCGGAGCAGGGCCGAGTCCAGCCCTTGCTTCCTCTTACACATTGTTCATGGGTCTTGGAGCCTGGGCGCTGGCTTCACGTCACCCAGGCCACGGGCCCAGCCATTCCCCTGCCGGCACGGGGAGTGACTCGGTCGCGTCACAGGCCCGGGCACGCGCGCCTCGGAGCGGAGCATGCTCTCGGATCCCAAACTGTCCTTGGGCTCCGCCGCGAGCACGAGGCGGGAAACAAGCGGGGACCGGTTCCGGGGAAGAGCGACGGCCCAAGCAGAAGAACGGGGCCCTGCCAGCTCCAAGGCCGACACCGGGGCTGCCTGATGGAAGGAGCTGGGCCGCGAGGGTTCAGCCCGCGGAGGCAGACCCCCACCCCTCGACCCGCCCCCGGGGGAAGCCCCAGGCCGGTCCTCACCAGGCTGCTCGCAGTAATGCCTTGGTGGGCAAGAAGCTAAGGATCCGCTCCACCACCTCAGCCAGGTTACTCAGCACGTAGGCCCCTTTGCCGTCCGACTCCATGGCAACCGCCACCCACGCCTCTGCTCCCGGCGTCTGCCTCCCGCACCAAGAAGCAGGCGGGGAGCCGAAAGCCCCTAGCCGCGACGCACTCCGAGTACGTCATCCGCACGGCGCCCACTTCCGGTCTCCGCCTCTAGAGCACGTGACCAACCACACGGCCCTTCCCTGTTGTGGGGATGGTGCACGTGACGACCGGGCGAGTAGCGTCAGCGAACTGAGCACGTGACATTACGACAGACACTGGAGCGTGACTTCCGGTTCTTGGCGATGGGGGCTGGGGCGTGTGAGTGGTCCAGGCCGTGGAGCCTGGGGTTTGGTTCCCCGCTCAGCTGTGGCCTTCATGTCTGACCTTGGGCAAGTCTCTTAGCCTCCCCCTGATCTTGCCCAGTTGTATTCTAGGGAGAGCAGCAGGGTCCAACCCCACAGGGGCTGAGGACAAATAACAATAAAGCACACCACACCATTTAAGGTAACAGAAAAGGAGTGCTAGTGGCACCTTAGAAACTCACAAAATTTATTTGAGCAAAAGCTTTCGTGAGCTACAGCTCACTTCAACGGATGCATTCAGCCACTGTAGCTCGCAAAAGCTTATGCTCAAATAAATGTGAGTCTCTAAGGTGCCACCAGTACTCCTTTTCTTTTTGTGAATACAGACTAACACAGCTGCTACTCTGAAACCTGTTTATTGTTAACATTACCGGGGGTAGGGTAGGGAGAGACAGCTATGCCTCTGCCTGGGGAGTGGGTATGCAGCAGCAATCTAATCCCCAGCCCACAAGAGGCAAACAGGCTCAGGAGCCTGCAGCAGTCATGCCTGGATGCCCCCCTTTACATCCTGCCCAAGCACTGTACTGCAGATGAACACCACACTGCACCAGGACAGGGGATCCATCAGCTATGGGTCCAGCCACTGGCATAACAAGAGTCCAGCCTAAAAGCTGTGTTCACTGGGCCTGGAACAAGTGGATTGATGTGAGAAAGTAAAGCTACACATTCTCCTCTGCTCCTAAAAAAATCCCAACCCCTTCCTGCCTCAACTTGCTTGGTCCAGGCTCAGTTACATATAAAGTGAGGGATTTTAAAGGCACAGGCTGTAGCTGGATTAGAGTTGATCAACAGCCCTTCTCAACCTAAGTGAGTAAGAAAAAAGAGAGACAAACTCCAGCAGCACATCTTAAGGTAAAATTCTCCCCACCCCACACAGAAACATTTTACTTTATAGAGGAGTAACGATTAAGCCAACTGCACAGTTCCCTAGTAGGATGTGGGGGGAGAGGGGGGCCTAAATTTTAAAACCACATACAAAAAAAAAAAGCAGGTAAGGGAGATTTGGGCAGCTGTAGTACCAAATGCTGCTTTTTAAGTGTCCTTTTAGAAATCTGAAGAAGCTCTGTTTAGCTCAAAAGCTTGTCCGTCTCTTCTACCAACAAAAGATGTTCCAAGATCTTACCCATCTTTTCTCTCTCTCATATCCTGGGACTCACAACTACAACACTGCACACAACTTTCAGAAATGGTCAGCAGTTTCTATGTTAATGTCCCTTTAATGGCGATTTCTATGTGGAGTTACTTTAGTGTCACCTTCAATATAGGTGACATTTCCTCTACTCACTGCCCATGCAGCTCAAACTGCTGAAGATAGAACCATTTTTGTCCTAGACTCCCATACAACATTAACTTACAGTGGCAGAGTTGAGGCGCACTCTAATGCATTTTAAATTCTTTAGGTTTAGGAAGATTTTTCATTTTTGCAAGGTAAATGTGGGATCAAACTCTCATATGCTCTTACTGCAAAAGAATTATTTTGTTTCCTGTTTCTGATTTAGATTGTGAACTCAAGGCAGGGATTGTGTTAGTTGTTTGACAAAGGGCAACTGTGAGATAGCCCAGCATTCAGTGCTGTCTGCTTCCATTTACCAAAGGAGGCAGGTTTGGCTACATGGCTAATGATTTTCAACTCCGATTGTGTAGTCTTTTGGCTTTCCTAGAATCCACTCAAGATTAGAGGAGGGCTGCTATGGGAGGCTTGATTCCAAGAAAGTTAAGGTGTTTGGATGAGGAGGAAGATATTCAGAGAAGTGGAAGATTGAGTGATTGCTTTCCTCCCATTTTCTCACTTGTTGGTTAACAAGACATGCAGTTTGAAGGTCCCATTGACCTTAGAGGATAAAGTAGCAGCAGTGAACGAGTACTTCTCATCTGTGGCTGTGCAAGTCTATTTCCACCCCACCCCCCCACCGGCCTTACTACCAGTGATCCATGTGATTTTTATACCTTAGATTACAGTGCACTTTATGGGGCCATACCTGAAGACAACTTAGGAACTTCCATCAAGTGCAGAATGCATTGGTCTACATACTTAGTGGTACTTTTCACAGGAGCATTTTACACCTGTACTCATGAGCCTGAAATTCAAAGACGTTATGATGTGTTGACCAGTTTTTCCTTTTATACGTTGCATTGGTTGGGACCCCACACACACACAAACGAACAGAAAGCTATCTTATATTCAAAGACTAACCACAAACAGAATAATTCTTAAAATGGTTCTTTATTCATAAACTTGATGCAAGTTTATAAATTACTGTACATTGCCAAATAATTCTGCAATGAAAAATGAAATCCAAAACAAAGCATGCCAAATGTGCATCTGTCAACCTGCTAGCCCATTAGAATATTAAAGAATTCAATAATGTATTCAAAGATTTTAGCCTCAGGTTTTAAGGAACTTTAATGCTTAAAGAGTTCTGCCTTTCACTTAAGGTTGCTATCTGAGTAATTGGATACCAGGATTGTATACGAATATATGTACAACCAAGTAAGCAGAAAGGCTGGCAAGTCATCCATTATACTCCCTAGAAGACTATTTGAAACAAAACAGTACGTTATCAGGAGTAGTGCCAAATTCCTTCAATCTGTTCTTTCAAGCTAAAAACTGGATCTAGAAGCAAATGCACAAGGGCCAATGGGTGCCTGATAGAGAAAAGAAGAGCACAAAGTTGATAGTTGTAACTAAAAAAAACCACATGCTTCTGGGCTAAAAAAGTGCTTAATCCATGGTACACACCCTTATATCAATCCCTGGCAGTACAAAGGTCTAATCACTAATACTACAACCAAAATAGAATTGATTTAGGTAAGGCAATGAAATATAGTAATTACACAGACCCAGATTCATTTCCTAATAATGAAAGAATAGTTCCTGTTAGTCTTTCAATAACAAAAAGCACTGTCATGACTATGGCAACATTATTTTTACAACTCTGAATCAGGTGATGTCTTTTTTGTATTTTATTGTAGCTTTTATATAAAAATTTTTGTTCAAGGATTTTCATTTTGATTTGTGCCAATCACTTTATAAGTTCATTAGTTTACAAATGATTGCAACAACCCGTTAATAAAATGGAACACCTAAAAAGATTTTTAGTATCTTAAATAACTTCAAGCTTCATACTGTGGCTCCTTTTGTTAAGTAGCTTGAGCCAACAAGTAGCAGGAACAGCCCAGCAAGATTCTGATGCCCCAGTGGAAGTGACTAGTTACAAGGTTTTATTGGCACAGCCTTGCTCTGCTTAAAAATACAACAATCTAATAAAGAGTATCTCTTCCAAGAAACAGTTCATATCCTCACACAGCCATGAAAAAAGTTTAATGACTTAACATACATGTTGTTTTCCTATATCTTTAATTTGGCAATACTACAAATGTTTTCATTTTAGACCAGAAAAACTACTGTGATTTACAAGACCTGAAATTTCCTAAAACAGTATTAAACAATGTATTAAACTTTGTTGGCTTTAAATGAAACATTACAATGCAAGTCTCTGCAGTCCACATTCTGCAAAAGGTAAGAAGTGGTGAGTGACTCCTATTGAATAATCTTCTAGTAACTCAATAGCCAGCTTTAAAAAGTTTGCACTTTTAAATAAAAATTAAGATAGGGAGTGGCCCAAATATGCTTAATCCATAGGGACAAATACAGTAAAGGCCAAAACTGCTCAGTCCAAGATACCTAATAAGAGCAAAATGGTAAGGCTGTAAATTATACTGGATGTGTCAGTTGACAGATTATCCACTAACTTATCTAATAGCTAAAGTCTTCAATACAGCTGTTATAGGGGCATTCGTAGCTTGAGTCTGTGTGTGTGTTGGAAAGAAATAAAAAAGAGCTGTTTGACATTGGTCCAGGTGTACAACAGTCCACAATATTAACCATCTTCTTTTGGAGGAGTGTACCAGCCTATAGAAGAACAAAGAAACGTATTAGGCACTCTTAACTTTAGTGCAAGACAGCTTTAGGGTCTATTTGGATGTGTAATTGAAATTGTGTTTGAAAACTAGAACAATCCATCACAGGCCCTAAACTCCTATTGATTTCAATGGGAGTTAAAGCACTCATCACCTTGCAAGATCAGACCCAGTGTTTACATCTGAAAATAAAGCATTAACATTGAGCTCCTGTTGGCAGCAGCCATCCTGCTAAATTAGACAAATCTTAAGATACCAATATAGAAAGCAAAGAGTAATGTGATCTATTTTTCCATCTGCTTTAGTTAAGAAAAAGGTCCAGATTCTGGGATGTATTAGCAGGAATGTTATAAGCAAGACACAAAAAGTAATTCTTCCACTCTACTCAGCACTTACAAGGCCTCAAAACTGGAGTACTGTGACCAGTTCTGGGCATCACACTTCAGGAAAGATGGACAAATTAGAGAAAGTTCAAAAAAGAGCAACAAAAATGATTAAAGGACTATCAGGAAAGATTGAAAAACTGGGATTTGGTCTGAAAAAGAGAACATGGTAATAGTCTG